CAATAATTCCTTCAGTTTTTCTCTTAAATGTATTAGAGTCGGTTTTTGTTTGGTACACTTAAAAAGTTAAGAGTTAGTTTGGTAAAGTAGCTTTGGATTTTCTTTAGGTGTGGGCAGCTCCATTTTTTAATTAAAGAAAGAGGGTGCACACTCATAAAATAGATTTGGTTGCACGCAATTTGAACCTATAGCAAAATTGGTTTTCTTATTTTAACCAAAATTACCTAACTACCCATCGCTGAAAATTTGGTTTTTTTAACACATTCAATTTTAGAAAATTATATGCATAGGGTAAAACTATGCTAATGGAGCAAAGGATCAACATTTAATGACAAAAATTAGGTGTTGAATGACAGATGTCTAACCCATGATGTTATAATCCCATGACTTCAAGTCTTTAGTAGTTCTTCAATTTGAGATCATATAATCCTCATAAAGTTTGTGGTAAATTATTAAAATTCTTCAACACTTATGAGGTCCTTCAAAAGTTACTTATTGATGCTCTAGTTGTTTGTAATTGCTTTTGGATAATTTTATAATATCATTTTTATTGATAGCGGAGAATTTATGTGTCTCAAAACTAGTCCTATGATTTTAATTCCTTAGATTGAGGGAATTTCACGGTGAAAATTTGTTTGTGTTGCTTTGTTTTAATTTAATTTTTGTATAATTTATTTATACTTTGCATTTGATTCTTGTTGACCAAATGAAGAGAAAGTTAACACGGTCTTGCTCCTTGATGAGCGGGTGATAGTCTGGGAAAGTTGTCCCAATGAGGGGTAAGGGGAGCGCCCCTGGAACTGCGAAGGCCTGGTATTATTGTGGGCCTTGAGCTTAATTTATTTATTTATTTTTTAGTAGTTTTGACTTTGACCCATGAATAACTAATGTTACTTAATGTTTTTAAGCGTATTTATATTTTTCTTGTAAATAGAATACTTTGTAACGAATGTTGTAAAGATAATATGATGAAATATTGTTGAATATAGGCCACATAGGGTAAACCAAGATAAATCTGCTTCTCCATTCTTTCTTTTCTTTCTTTTGTTTTGTTTTGCGATTGTATGTGTCCTTGTTGAATCCCAAAAGAATTATTATTAGAATATTTGTTTAGCTTTGAATTCAATCATTTATGACATGTTAAATTAAAAAGGAAAATTTGATTTGTCTTTACCAACACTTCAAAGACCACCGATGTCAAGAAAAAGTGGAGAACTGTTTACAAAAGTAGAAAAAGAGGAAGTGAAAGAAATAAAAGTTTAATTTTAATCGACGTATAATAAAACTGTCCTGTTTGGTTATTGTATATTAAATCATAAAACATGCTATTCACGATTTTGTTTTTTGGACTAAAATACGCATAACTTCTCCGGTTATAAGTCAATTATAAAAAATAAAAATAATAAAAAACTCGGCTTTCTAAATTTATCAACTTGTGTAAAGTATTGTAAATTTAACTTCTACGTTCAGCAAAACTCTCATTTGACAAGTTGGTAAATCTTTAAGCATAAAAAATTACGTGATTGATCTATAATTGAAATCGGTTCCTTTCGTTTAAACCTTTTCATATCGTTCACATTAGTTAAAGCACTTTAATATTGATTCTACTATTTTGGCTTTCCAACTTTAGTATAGTCAATGATAAGTTTAACTAGGATTGTTTATTCAATCAAATTGACATAATGAACCCAAAAAATCAACATTTAAAAAAAATCACTCCCCATAATTATAAAGGGATTATTTCCCAGGTTAAAAAAAAATAATCCTAAGAAAATTCTAGGATAATTTTTATATGTGATCTTACCTTTATATAATTATAAAGAGAATATTTTTTAGATTAAAAAACATGATCTTTCAGTTACAAAAGAAATTTCACTGCATGACATTCGACCAAGAGTGATTTTGTTTGGTTTGATTTGATTTGAGTTTAATAAAAAAAGTTACAAAAACTGAACCAAAGAAAATTAATTATTTTTTATTTAATTAAAATTATTTATATTTATTTTTTTTGGTAAAAGTATATATGAATATTTATATCTTTTAATCTAAGCCAAAATGAGCCTTTACACTTTTAAGTTTAATCATTTGTTCATTTCATGTTATTTCTTTTGTATTCTTCATATTTAAAAGTGAATTTCTTTATATGGAATAAAAAATTAATTTTTTTTAAATATAATTATTAACACAATTTATTTTGTCTGCGTTAATTCCTTTGAAGTTAACTCTGTAACTCTGTTAATAGTTTCTATCTTAAAATTAACTCAACTCAAATCTAATATAAATTTTTGCAAGTACATTGAACTTAGTATTGGGGGCTCTGCTGATACAGGAGAGCCTTTCAAATTCTTGCAGAGAAAATAAATGGTGGGATCCATTATTTTTTAAAAAACCAAAAACAAACAAAAACACGGTTTTCGGTTTATATCCAAGAGAGAAAAAAGCATAAGAGTCTATTTTCTAAAAAAAAGCATGAGTAAAGTGTGTGTCGTTTTAAAAGATGTAAAGTTGTGTCATTTTAAGAGAGAAAAAGAGATAAATAAAGAATGAAAGAGAGTTGACAAAAAAAATAAAGCTGTGGATCTCACCTCTTTGTGAGAATAAAATGATATAAGTTGTGTGATTTAAAAGGATAAATATTTTTTCAAAAAATATTCATAAAAGCAAAAGAGGAGGAAAAGTATTTATCAATGTAGAAAAACAAGGAGGGAGATGTAATATCTTTTAAATAATCTCAATTAAATTTGCTAAATAATATATCAACTTGTTATTAAAAGATATTGTAATACTTACAGAAAAAAGATTTGTAATTAAAATAATTTTTTAAAAAAGGAAAAAATAAAAAAGAAGAAGAAGAAAGAAAGAAAGTTAGATAGGAAGACAGAAGAGAAGAGAATCAATCCTTTCTCATGTTAAAATTTCAGTTTATAAAATTTCACGAGAAATTTTGTATCAACTTTTTCTATTCATAAATATTAAATTAGTGATAAGGGAAGGATATTGTAACAACTAAGATGTGTTACTACCATGTTACTACCAATCAATCTCACCGTTAGATCGATTATGTTGATCCAACGGTTATATTTATTTCCATCTTTGTATGATTATGATTCCTCATATTTAAAGTAAAAGCAGTAAATATGGAAGATCATAACCATACAAAGGTGAAAATAAATATAAAGTATTAAATTTGAAAAATCATGACCCTACAAAGATGGAAATAAATATAACTGTTGGGTCAACATAATCGATCTAACGATGAGATTGATTGGTAGTAACTTGATAGTAACACAACTTGATTGTTACAATATCCTTTCCCTTAGTGATAATCTATCAAAATCTATAAACATATATAAAGAAAGAAAAGAAACCATTTTTTTAAAGAAATCATGTAAAATTTTAATAAACACAAAATATTTTTGAGAAGATCTTGTTAAATTTCAATACAAGATAATCTATTCTATAATGGGGACAATGAGCACATTGCATACCCTTCTAAGCTCAAGATTATAAAAGAGAACATTTTCACTGCTACAACAATACCTATTCTCTTCCCAAAAAAGAAATATAAATAAAAACAACCATAAAGGTAAAAATAATATAAATAAATTACTTTTTATCATATTTGATCATATTGCATACCCTTCTAAGCTCAAAGTATCAAGTTTTTAACATATTTAATTTAAAGAAAAATATTTGTTATTTTAAAAGAATATAATTTTATATAATTTTAGATAAAATGATATCATTTTAATGCATATTTAGTGATTTTTTACATTCTTTCTCCTTTATAAAATTAGGAAGATAGAGAAAATAAAAAACCATCAATTATGTACCAAAACGATAACGTTTCATAAAAAGGACACAAAATTATGGGAGCGGATATATTTATCACAAAAAAAATTATCACTCTTACAACCAATTTAATCATTGTTGAGTTCTTTCAATCTAACTGTTATAATTTATTGAGAATTAATAATTAATTAATAAATGTGACCCAATAAATATTATTAATTCTTAATAAATTATAACTGTTAATATTGACGAAAATCAACAATAATTAAATTAGTTGTAAGAATAGTAAATTAATTTAGTGGTAAATAAATCTGTTACCCAAAATTATATCTTTTAAAATAATAAATATTTTTCCAATTTATACTTATCACACTAACTCGAAATTTGAGAAAATTGAACAATAAGTTAAAGGGAAAATATTTTCTCCACACATAAGATAAGTCTCTCTTCTTTACACTAACAAAATGGTGGGTTCTTTAGATTTTTTTTCTTTTCTTCTTTTTTTTTTTTATAAAAAAAAAGTCTCACATCATTTGTCTCAAGTAACATAAAATAAGTTGTCTTGTGTTGCATAAAAGTAATAAACCCTAGGTTAAAACATATACCAATTGATACCTCGTGCTTATGGTAGAAATTTGAGTTACTTGATCATAATCACGTATACAGGATCAATTGTCTTTGTTGGCTTTATGAAACAGCACTTTTTTAAGTCACCATATCAACCCAGTTTCACATGAAACCTGTGGGTTATCCTTCCAAAGGCAGATTTATAAACCCAAAACCATGGGCAGTTTTCTGTCAGCACCGACAAAACCGGTTGCTTCAATCAAACACATTCACTCTCTTCTATCTCTTACTCTATTATATACCCTTGTCTCCCTCCAACAACCCAATCTAACACCAATTTCAATGCAACCCACACCAACTTTTGACATTTTGCTTTCTATTCTTCACTTTTGTTCCTCCATTTCAATCCCTCAAAGCCAAACCAAGCGAGTTGGTGAACACTGAATGGTGTGATGCTACACTTCTGATCTCCCTCAATCATTCACAACATTGGTCCTTCTGCCAAATTATGAACACCCTTTTTCCACTGTTCAACTATTCGATTAACGGGTAAGTTCCTTTCCTTGAAAGTTTATAGCTTTTTAAAATAGGTTGTTTGTTTGTTTAGGTAGTTGAGGTTTGAACTTGTTTTGAAGTGTTTGATGGAACCAAATGGACTTGGTGGTGGAATGTTTTCTAGCATCAGTTCTGGATTGATAGGGATAGAAAACCCTTTGCAACATCAACAGCAAAATCCTCACCATTTGCACCATCCCCAAATGGTTCCCTATGCTGCACACCATGAGATGGAAACACACAATCCACAACTCCATCAATCAATCAAACATGGGTACCCTCTTCCCTTTTCAGCAAAGAACAAGCAACAACAAAGCACCCTCAGTGATGAAGATGAGCCAGGGTTCCCAGCAGATGAAAGCTCTGGGGACCCCAAGAGGAAGATTTCACCATGGCAGAGAATGAAGTGGACAGATACCATGGTTAAGCTATTGATAATGGCGGTTTATTACATTGGTGATGAAGGTGGTTCTGAAGGGAATGATCCCATTGGGAAGAAGAAGTCCACAGGTTTGCTGCAGAAGAAAGGGAAGTGGAAATCTGTGTCAAGGGCTATGATGGAAAAGGGGTTCTATGTGTCTCCACAGCAATGCGAGGACAAATTCAATGACTTGAACAAGAGGTACAAGAGAGTGAATGATATTCTAGGCAAGGGAACAGCTTGCAAGGTGGTGGAAAATCAGAACTTGTTGGATACAATGGACTTGTCCCCAAAGAGGAAAGAGGAAGTTAGGAAGTTACTCAATTCCAAACACTTGTTCTTCAGAGAAATGTGTGCTTACCATAATAGTTGTGGTCATGGAGCTTCTACTGTTCCACAGCAAGTAGAGGCTGGAATAGAGGTAACTCAGGCTCAACCACAACACCAACAACAACAAAGTTGTTTTCATTCATCAGAGAACGGGGTGGGGAATTTTGGTGGGTCAGGGGGAGAGGGTATGAGGATGTTGAAAGTGGCAAACTTGGAAGAGGATAATGATAATGATGACGATGAGGATGAGGATGATGAGTCAGAGGACTATTCTGATGTGGATGAAGATGAATCAGTAGAAGGTGGTTCAAAGGGTCAAGTTGGACATGGACATGGACATGAAAATGATGATGAGAATGATGGAAAGTTATCTAGGAAGAGGTCAAGGAAAGAAGCAGGGTTATCTATGTCATCATCATCTCATTTAATGCAACAACTAAGCAATGAGGTGAATGGTGTGTTCCAAGATGGGGGTAGGAGTCCTTGGGAGAAAAAGCAGTGGATGAGGAACAGGATACTGCAGTTGGAGGAGAAGCAAATAAGCTATCAAACTCAAGCATTTGAGTTGGAAAAGCAAAGGTTGAAATGGACAAGGTTTAGTAGCAAGAAGGAGAGGGAAATGGAGAGAGCCAAACTTGAAAATGAACGCAGGAGGCTAGAAAATGAGAGAATGGTTTTGCTTATTCGCCAGAAGGAGCTTGAATTGCTCAATCTTCAGCACCAACAACAGCAACATTCTTCCACCTAGACTTAGAAAAGATGGTTTTACTGGGATAGATTGTATGATAGATGAAATTATAGTAAGACAGAATGTATATTAATTAGACTAAATAGATGAAAGTGTTCGTTCTCTTTCTAGGATTATTCTTCAAGTTGTTTCTTGTTGAAAAAAGAATAAAAATGTAATGTCTGTATCTACCATCTAGATACCCTTTTGTTTTTTAAACTAAGCTTTGTGTTTTATTTAAAAATAAAAAACAAATCTTTACTAAATATGTGTCCTTCAATTTCAATTTTTTTTTTCCATTTACTTAGATGTGATTAATACAGGGGCGAACTGGAACAGTAAAGTTGTTTCTTCCTGAAAAGTTATAAGTTTGAACATAGGAAACAACTTCTTTACAATTTATGTAAGAGTAAAATTACGTACAAGAATTGTTTTCACCTCTCACACTCATTAGTCGGGTTTGACCGGCAAGTGATTTTTATTTTTATTTTAGATGTGACTAATTCCTTTTATGGAGCGGAACAGTGACCATTGTGCCACTGTTCACCAACTTTTTTACCTAAATGCCACGCGAACAGTGTTATTTTCCAATCTGCCACGGGGGCAAGTTCGTTTCTGACACAAGCGACCTCGGTTTGCTGATGTGTCAGCTTCCTGGTGGTGTCAGAGTTCGCTTCTGACACAGGCGACCTCGGTTTCAATAATATTTTAATCAAGTTCGCCTACATGGTAGGCGAACTTCATTTTTTTTGAATTTTTTTTTTTTAAATTTAATACTTGTTATCTACTAAAAATGTGACACGTCAGCAAACCGAGGTCGCTTGTGTCAGAAGCGAACTTGCCCCCGTGGCAGATTGGGAAATAACACTGTTCGCGTGACATTTAGGTAAAAAAGTTGGTGAACAGTGACATTTTGATCGGTATCCCAAATTTTTTTAACCATAACAGTTCACTTTTTGAACACAACTCTCTTATCAACTGTGCCACCCCAATTTCAAGTTGAAATTTTAAAACTAAAGCCAATTGACCCGGCATATCACATCGCATTCCGTGCGCTGCGGTTGTAGAATAAAACCAAAATATAAACACAGCAGTAATTTGTCTTGACATTGCTTTATGCACATTGTTTTACAGAGCTTCAATTGTGTTTATTTAAAAAAATTGTACTCCTCAAAATTTTCAAAATCATTTCAACTTTGGAGTAGTTTATTACAAGTGCAATAAGATTAACTGAAGGCAAAATGGTTTAAAACACACGCCCGGCGGGACTCGAACCCGCAATCGCCTGATTAGAAGTCAGGCGCCTTATCCATTAGGCCACAGGCGCAATTCGTATCAGTTGAGCTATGCAGTTTTAATCAATATTTATATTAGAATGGCATGCGTACCTCTATCTATATTGAAAATGAAAGATAACTTCGTACTATTACTTGAAAATCTAAGGAAAACTTAGGGCACGTTTGAATTGTGTTTTCGAAGAAATCATTTTTTTAAAAAAAGACTTGTTTAATAAGATATGTTTTGTAAAATTAATTCTATAAATAATAATAATTTTTTAATTTTTAGAATCAAATTTAGAAAATATGTTTCAGTTGTTTATGTTTTATGTTTTGACTTTTAACTTTCAAAACACATACAATACAGAAAATATTTATTTCATTAATTATTCTACAAAACAGTTTTAAGAAAGAAAAAAAAAATCAAACATATCCTTATTTTTTGTTATAAGGAACTTGATTATCTCAAGTCATGTGGCCGCCAAGATAACATCGAGTGGCACTCTTGCACTCTGACAAAATCATTAACATTTGAAATTGTAATTATTGTTATGCCACTTTGATCATTTAAATTTTTCTTTTTTCTTTTTCTTTCTTCTTTTCTTTTCTTTTCTTTTTCAGTGTAATGTGAAATCACTTGACTGCATCCATGTTACATCACATCGTAAAAAGAATTACATGTACTTTAATTTAATTTGATATATATACATATCATAATCTTAATTTTTTTTTTAAAAAAAAAATACATTTTTATTTGTGCATTTAAAAGACATGTTCATTTTAAAATAACACACCACAACATAACAAATGTCCGTTTCTTTTACTAATGCAAACAGGAAAAGGAAATATTTGTAACTTGTTGACATTCAATCCAAAACAAACAGGTCATGGACCATTTAAAACAAAAGCTAAAGGAAATTTAAGTTATTTATACTATCAAGTTATTAACTAGCGACTTGCAAAAGGAGTGAGAAGAGTGAAAGGAAGATGTTACCAACCTAGTTTACTAAAATTTCCTCCAACTAGTTTAAGGCTATAAATCCCAAACCTGAATGAATTATGGCACTTTAAGCACTTTTAAAGTAAACCATTTTGATCCCCACAAGTTGTTCATCATTAAACATGTACTACTCGTTCATGACCACAAAGAACAAAGAATAAAATATGCCTGTGCACAATTGGCGTTAGAAACACAAGCTATTAGCATTGCTAGTTTGGCAATAGTAGCCAATAAACACATTTTTCGAACCCAGTCCTAGTAAGAATATTAAACCCAAAAAATTGGCATCAAGGGTTCATTCCCCCTTTGATTTTATGTTTGACAGCCACTAATAATTTGCATCAAGGGGAACAAAATAGCCATCAAAACCAAGTGGAGATAACCTCAACTTCTGGCAGAATAATCTGCAACTTTCAAAATCTTGGGAAAGATCAAATAAAAAAAAGAAGAAAGAAGTAAAACTAAACTGCGATTGGATAAATGCACTTTAATCTTCAAGCTCAATAATCTTAACCACGGATGCATCACCAAGTTTCTGGCAAACAACAACTCGATCATGTGACTTTATAATTCCCAATGCTTTTCCATGATCAAGGGCAACCTTAAGAATAGACTCGTTTGTTGCACTTGTTGACTCAGCCTGCAGGCACAGAGTATATATAGGATCATTATATGATGGAGTGCATGTAAAGCAGCATGCATAACAGTATTGGACATTTATATGGACAACTATAGCATAAAGCATCAGCAATATACGCCTCATGCAGAATGAAGATTATGTTCCAACAATGCAACCACAGATAGTATCATAAGAACTAGCCATGAGGGGCTACAAGGAACTCATCGAGCCCGAATATGCATTGAAGCTATCAGTTCAGTGAGTAAACAACCCCTAGTCCAGCTTCTCACCTTGCTCTCAATTCAGCAACTAATGTCTACCCTTAAAGAACAATCTCAACAAAACAATGCCTATAAACTTCAAAGAAAAAATTATAACTGAGTAGAATTCTGAATTCCCAAAAAAACCACTTACAGGATGTCGCGGATCAGCAAGCATGGGAAAGAGACCTCTTACAATAAGTGATTGCCTTGCCTGTGTCAGAAATTGAATTTCTTTGTAAGTTTGGTAAACAAAAACAAGGTGATCCAATGTAAACAGCACAATACATCGTGGTAAATAAAATTCTCTAATCATTAGATGCAATAAGTGTGTCCATATCCCAGAAAGCACAGCAGCATCTGCCAAAGATCAATATAATTCATGGCTGCACTTACTTCAAACAAGATATAATAATTACGATAAGCTGAGAATGTTTAACAGTAAAATTTTAACTATATTATAAATATTATTTATAAAATTATTTACTAGAGTATTATATTAATTACATCAGATGTAAATAAGCTTTCCCACAAATGAGTTAACATTTAGTCTGGAAAATTGAAAAATAAAACAACAGAATAAATTGTTCTTCTTTAGCAAATAAAAGCAAAAAAAAAAAAGGAAAAGAAAATTCATTTATAAAGTAAAATTTCATTAGCATTTCTTAGCACTCAAGTCTTTTCCATACTCATACAAACCATCAATAACAGCCATGGATAAAACAGAAAATAAGCACCAGAATCAAAAGTTTAGTTCCAACCTCAAAAGCTCCAGTAAAGCTCCACTTTAGCTGATTTGTCTTAAGTCGGGGGATCACAACAGAGAGAACTGGCATTGTTGGCCTATACTTTGCTATCAATCTGACAAATGCATTTAACATCTTCAGACAGAAAGTCTTACAGACAGAAAATTGATATGGATATTAATTGGAAGGATAATATTTGTTTCCAAAGTCGAACCCAACTTGAGAGTGACTGATTCATTTTTCCAAGATACCAAATATGATCATATGTACACATTTATATGTAATACTAATTATTCATAGAGTACCTTGCAGCCCTTCCAGATGAAGTGAAGCAAATTATAATAGAAGCCTTCACCTTAATAGCAGCTCGTACCTAACAAGTAAAGATTGGAATGTAAGAAGCCCACTTTCAAAGATGAAATAAAATCAACCATCAAGCCAATAAAGCAAACAATAGGCCAAAACTTCTCTCGAAAAAAATTAAAATAAAAAGAAAAAGAAAAGAAAAGAAAGAGAGAGAAAGGTATGCATGAGAAAATACTATTAGAAAAACTAATGAGAAAAATTTAAATGTAACTACCGCAGAGGATGCAATAGATTCCAAGTGGGTCATGGGTTCTCCAACATACTTCACTGTCTTCTTGAAATAAAGGTCTTGATTGAAAACTTTCTCAGCCTACAAGGACATGAAATGGAAGGCAGAGCTATCAGCCAACATTTTGTGTGACATTTTGAATAGAACATTTTATACGGAATTCTTAACAAATGATTCGCAGAACTAAGGCCACAATAAGATAAACCGCCATTAGATAGAAAGAAGCAAAATTGAGAAACAGAATAGGTGAGAAATGAGAGTAACATACTTTCCAGTTTTATATTCAGACATGACATGAATACATCGTAAAATTCATATTAGAATAAAAAATGAATGGATTTTAATGATATACCTAAGAATTCTTGTTGAAACATAATGTTTGATAGAAATTGTTTATTATGTACACAGAGTCCATCTTATTCATACTATGAATACACTAAGTACAGGAGCTAATCAATGACTGATTAAATCATTAACTACTGTGACCACTACAGTTGATATATATATATATATATATATATATATATATATATATATATATATTCAAACAGGTCTAAATATGTTAATGAATCAGACTAGTATTCT